CCTTCCGAGCACAGAAAGATAAATTACGATCCTCACTTCAACAACCCCGCCGAAACAGAGCAAGAAGCGAATAATAGAGCACGACACAGTCCACTTTGGATTTTACACCTCGGCAAACCGCATACTAGCCCCAGATCAAGTTTGGTTCTACCCAAATTTGAAATCTTTCCACCGGATAATCCAGCGCAAAACGTACCATAATAGATTCTGTCAAAGCGACATACAGACCGAAATCCATACGCACACTAAACCGTCCATCACAATACTCCTTCACGCCAGTACCGATAGAGCGTTGTTGTTGCACATCGCAGCGTCAGCAGTATCTCATCGCAGTCAAAAACATGTACACAGGTCACTAATCCACGTACGCACTCTCGTCAACAACTCCAACACCGCATCGGCACAAAGTACACAGCGCAACGCCTATAATGTATCAAATAAAACTGTATTCGAATGCATAGCATATGAATACAACCTCCTTTTCCTTTCGCACGCATGATCACTCTGAAACAAATTCCAAAGCAATACGAGCGCACTATGTTTTGTAATCTATACGTATCCTGGAAATGACTCGAAATCATTCCTAAAAGAATACATAGAGAATACCATCAATTGCCAAATTTGAGCAGTCTTATTCATAATAAGATCGCAAAAATAACATGGTTGTCGAGCATTTCTCCAACCCTTCCATTCAATACTAGAAACAATAAATATTCCTAGTTCCAAACGAAACAGCCAAGTACTTTGCCTTACGACAGATCAAACTGAACATTCCAATCATTCTTCTCCATTTCGAAAGTTAACTACGTTTCCAAAACGGATCCAAACGATTCGTTTGCCCCACGTTGACCAATCAATTAGAACTTTCTCAGCTATTCTTTTCAACACCAGAAATTAACTACGTTTCCAGCATCGATCCAAATAATTAAGTCTGCCCCGCCGATCGATCAATTATCAAAAAGAACTTTCAGAAATGTCCTTAAACCAACAATAGATTGAGAACCAACCCACTATCGATTTAATAACACGCATCCAGTTCCACGTTTCATTGGTGGTACAATCCACATCAATTCATTCTGGCAACCGAGTTAGGCAACCAGTTCCACCATTTTTCCGAATAATTAGTTCGGTCCAACAGATCAATTAACACCACTTCCCCAACCGTTTAGTTCAATACTAGAATTAGTTTCCCAACTCCAATACCAGCCCAAAAGTAAGTTCGGTCCATCCAATAATCCGTAAACACTTCCCCCTTATTTATTTCAATAGCCAAATTCACAAGTCAACCCCACTATCGATCCAAATAATCGGCTAGACCCATACAACCAATTAAATGATACTTCACTAACCATTCTTCTCAATAACAGAATTAGCAAGCTAACTCCATTACCAATCCAAACAATTAATTAATACCACTAACGGATCAACAGAGCTTCCCCAACTACCCCTTTCAATAGCAGAATTAGTCTGCCAACTCAACCACCAATTTAAACAGAAGTTGGTGCCACAAAACAATCAACAAAACCTCCCCGACGATTCTTTTTGATATTAAAATTAGTTTACTAACCCATGTGTCGTTCTAAACTATTGCTTCTGTAGTACTAACTAACCCGTCGAACTTACCTAACTGCTCTTCCCAATAGTAGACGTCGTTACCTTTCTCCGCGACCAAAACAAGACGTTAGATTGATTAGTATTAGCCATGCCACAACAAAACATACGACTGCGCTCCCCGGTCTATAAACGGTAAAGTACCCTTGTTTCCATTACCAGTTCATAGAGGATCGACACACAGAAGGCGGGGGGTCTTTAACCTTACAGCGTCGTTTCCAACAATAAGATTAGTTTTTTTATTCTTACCTTACCACCCCACATATATAGGGATCGGTGCACCCCCGAACACCTTGAGGCTCGTTCTACGTGTTAGAATATTTATTAGAGTTAAAGTATAGATGGCTATTTTTAGACTTCGCTGGGGCCATACGAGAAAGTACGTAAATTTCGGTAATTTATGATGTCGAATGCCTTTCTCAGGTAACCCTAACCCTAAGCCCCGCTTAAGTGCGTATTTTATGTGGACCCGCAATAAGTACGTAATATTCAAATAAGTACGAAAAATACGAGTCAAATCCTGTAAGAAAATCTACTTTTTGCCAGATTACGTCGTCTGTGAGTAAGTTTTGTATACCGCTTTCTTTGGGGGGATTGTAGCGTACATTTAGTGGGACATATTGTTCCATACAATCATGTAGTATTGATCAACCCGTTTTGTTTTTATTCGTACAAATGTTGTCGTCTGGATTTTTTTGTGACATTTGGCAAATCGAGCCGGGTGGATCATCTGCGGCTAACCTAATTATTCGGATTGGCATAAACTTTTCGGGCAAAATTTCAAATTTTGATGTGAAAATCATTAAAAAACATGAATTTTCATCACTTTTCAACATTTTGTCGACTAAAACGTTAATAACTTTTTCTCCTGAAACTCTTTTTTCAATGTGACTGAATATTAGGTGTTCGGTACTGTTATTATACCTAGATCAATCGTTGTTTCGGGGAAATTCCCAAATTTTTCGCAAAAAGTGGTCTTTTTTGGGAGTTCATGGCAACTAGTTCGGATAGATGAAATTAGTCGTCACTCTCACCGGTTGGAAATAAATTCACGCCATTTTGGAAGTTGGAATGCGACAGACTGATATGAACCCGCTTTAAGATGCGGAATTTTACGGAGATTACGAATCTGCTCGATCCAAACGATTTGCATCATTTTTGACTTCACGGTAGTCAAACGCGCGATCATTTCGGTACAAAATCACGTTTCTCGTCGATTTTTAGGCATAAAAACGAGTCTGTACATAAAAGTAACAAAATTCAGCTTGATGACGATAGCTGACGAGAAAGAGCATGAAAAAATACATCTGGTCCGTATAGTTACAAAGTCTAAAAATGTTTCATATATAGACTTTGTTTGGGAAATATGGAAAAAATGTTGAATTTTGGCGAAAAAAGACGTCATTTTAGGCCTTTTTTCGACCTCGGGAAATGCAACTGCGACAAGACTACTGGCTCTCTGCCCGCATAACTTTCTGAGAACTTGTGGGTAGGTATGCGACAAGTCGTCCCGGAGTCCGATTGTACCAGATGTCGCTGGCGCGCTGAGACGGTACGTTTTAGAGGTTAAAAAAACGCCTTTCTCGCCGAAAACACACTTTTTTGAGAATATCTCGACAACCAGTCCGATTCAGCTTTCTGACGTGGTTGCATTCGATTCAGCGCGTCATTTTACATCAGAAAGGCTACGTCCGAATTGGTAACAAAGAAAGTGCAAATTTGAAATCGATTTTGCAAAAAAAGTACAAAGTGTACATAAAATGTGACTTTTCCACGAGAAAGGCCATAAAAAACTACGTCGGGTACACCCGGTCCGAGAGCCAGTTCGATTCGATTTGACAGGTTTATTCATCGATAGGTACGTTTATCGGTTTAGAGAGGGAACCGTTGAAGTGTCGCATAATACGACTGGCCCACGTGAAAGAGCATGCAAAAGTACCCCTAGAACATAGGTGGGGTTAGGTGTAACCCATCTGTATACCGTATAGAAAAAGCAAAAGAAAGTGCAGATATACGGTTTATCCGTTTTGCAGAGACAGGACGGATTGTGCATAAAACGAGATAGTACCACAAGAAAGAGCATACAAAAATACACATACTCCATACAGTTAGCCGACCCAATAGAGCCAGTTACATGTGTATATTCATCGATTTATAGTTCGTATCGAGTTTATATCGGGTTTGACAGGGTTCTGCTCACATGTCGCACGGTATGAATGGCTCACGTGAAAGAGCATACAAAACTACATATACTCCATACCGTTAGCCGACCTACCATCGATCATAACATATGTTTTATCGCAAGTTAATAGTTCAAATCATGTTCATAACGAGTTTGACAGGGGACTGACTGACATGTCACACGATGTGAATGGCTCACGTGAAAGAGCATACAAAACTACATATACTCCATACCGTTAGCCGACCTACCATCGATCATAACATATGTTTTATCGCAAGTTAATAGTTCAAATCATGTTCATAACGAGTTTGACAGGGGACTGACTGACATGTCACACGATGTGAATGGCTCACGTGAAAGAGCATACAAAACTACATATACTCCATACCGTTAGCCGACCTACCATCGATCATAACATATGTTTTATCGCAAGTTAATAGTTCAAATCATGTTCATAACGAGTTTGACAGGGGATCCACTGACATGTCGCACGATATGAATGGCTCACGTGAAAGAGCACAAAAACTACCCCTAGAACATGTGCGAGGTTAGGTGTAACGTGCAGTGCAACATTCGATACGTGACATCGAAATCATGTACATATGCACTGCGTCTCTTGCAACTTACACATGCATCGCGTACGCCGCACGCCATGTGCCGCGGGGTCATACATAACGTCAGTATACATGATAGCACGTGCAGACATACAAATACCAAGACTGAAAGTGAAACACACATCCATTATTGATATTCAATCTTTAGAAAGAAACCAACATCCTGAGTTGGTTGGCACCCGACTCCACTACTGAGCTTGGAGGAGGCTACACTTTCCAGAGGAAGGGGATAAGGGGGTAATTTCCATATAGGTGGTGTCTCCACATCCAGGGTTGGGGCAAACCAATAACACCTTGTGAAGTGGATTACCCAAGAAAACTACTTTTACCAAGCAAATGGGCCACGGGTCTCTTACTCCTTCTTGCCCTGCGCAACACAAGAGAAGCGGCAAGACACGCTCCATATCCACACAACTCACATTCATGTTGTAATATCCAATACAAAATAACCACAAACACCGTCCCACTGGCCACGCCACAACCCACAAATACAGAAACTGCCTATCATGAAACGACATTCACAATCAATCTCTATCTCTTGGGTCTTTTCTTCCACAAAAATACCCTTGTTCTCTCTCGCACTTTCCTTATTA